CCATCGTCTCCATGGAGATGTCATTGCTTTACCTTGAATCTTTGACAGTATGGCATTAAACATGTCTATGATACTGTGTATTACCATGGGTAGGGTCAGGGGCTGTCGTCAAAAATGAGGGCACAAAAAAACTTAATTTTTTGTAGCCACAGATCTGACATGTAACTTGGTCTGGTGTTGTCACCTACTTGTCTCCACGGAAATGGATGATTTCAGTATTGAACTGTTAAATATTTCAGGCAAGACAATCACATCTCTATGTGTGACTTTGTTTTTGTTAGAACATGCCTAGGTAATGAAAAACATCCAAATTGTAATCAGAATTTTTAATCAATTCTCCCTTTTCTAGGTATGGTAAGAGAGTCTGTAAGGAGCCTGCCTCTGATCCCGAGGGCCGCTCCTCCTGTCAGCAGTCGGCCCCTGCTCCCAAGAGCCCCTCCCACTGTGAGGAGCCGGCCCCTGTTCCTGAGGGCCCCTGCCACTCTGCGCTGCCTTTAGCTCAGGCCATAGTGAAAAGAAAAAGGCGGCACGAGTCCAGCACTTACTCTGACAGTAGGTTTTTCATGACTTTTTTTGTTAATTCATGATCAGTATTTGTTTGTGTAAAGTTTTTACATACAATATTGGCAATATTTCTTGACGCTGAGTGTTCTTTAAATAGTAAAAGAACAGAGTTTGTTTTTCCCCCACGGACTATGTTAGTATTGGGGAGTTAAATTCGAGTCATGGTAACATTTTAAATACCAATTTTCAATATTTTTAAAGCTGCTTCAAGATCAGTTTACACATTCATTACAATGACACTTTAGGCCTGATGTCATTTGGGTTCTTTTCATCCTCAGCACTCAGTGTATTTTTATCAAATGAAATAATGTAATGATATAATACAATATATTAAATAATGTGACTAATATTATTATTGTTTCTGTAGAAGTGGCAGCTAGCTGCAAGGAGCTGGTCCCTGTTCTAGAGGGCCCCTCCCACTTATTACAGTCTGTGGTCCAGCCCATAGCGTCCACAATAAAAAGGAAGAGGTCCTATGTGGCTCCTGCTCCTGGGGGCCCCACCAGCAGTGACTGTGACAGTAGGTTTTTCACTATTACAACTACATTATCAGTACTTACTTTACTTAGAAAATATCACCTACAGTCTCAAACATGAATATTATACACTTTTTACCACACAACTTGAGACTAATAACGCTCACTTCTTTATCTGTAGAACTGGTCATTGAAACATCATCAGTTTCACCAAAGAGACGGCGTGTGGAGGACGCTGTCACTGAGCTGACCTGCAACTCTGATGGTAAACACTGTTTTAAATCATTTATGGCTTCTTTATTATAACCAATTTAATCATGTTATAATGAAACTGCTGCACATTGTTTCAGGTTTGGGAAATTGTAGTGTATTGTTTTGTACCCTGCTTTTGTACATTTGGGTACAGAACATGGGTTATGTAGACTTATGGGCGGAGCATTGTACACACTGGTAGTGCTAACCCTAAAGACGATCTGAATGGTGCCAGGAAATCTAAAAAAAAAAAGTTCTTTTGGCTGTTTAAACAACAGCTCTAAATAACCAACCTGAGGACTTTGGGCAGCAGCAAAACTGTTGCAGAAGAACTTTCATATTTTGTCACATATGCTGACTATGTGATATAATAATAGTGACTTTTTCTCCACAGACAGCCTCATTTCCGTTCTACCAACATGGTTAACCAGAGTTTCCGCGGTAATACGCTCCCAGGCACAAACCTGGTCGGGTGAGTACCCATCAGAAATGGAGTTATAAGCCGCTGGAGCTACCCGGATCAGCGGGCGGAGATTACTGGGTGTCACACCACCAGAAGCCCGGAGTGAAGAGCGGTGGCTGCGGGCGCAGTGTGCACACCTCCTCCTGCTGTCCAGTGAGGGGCACCAGCCATAAGCATAAACTCAGTGTTTATGCTTCCTTGGTATGAGCGCATTCATGCAGAGGAGACAGGCAGGGAATTTGGCCAGGTAAAAATAACCCTACTTTTAGCCTTATAAATTTCACATGTATCGATATTTTGTCCAATTGTCAACAGTTCTGGGCGATCACACACAAATGGTGCACCGACGGTCCTCATGACAGTCATTAAAACCAATATAAAACCAATAAAACTGAGCAGAGCTAAGCGGTCAAACCAGACACCCCGGCGCCATCTTGCCTCGAAAATCACACATCCAATCAGGTGTGTGATTTTTTTTTTTTATTTTTTTTAGGCCTCCTTTAAGTGAGGTCATTTCAGACTTTAAAAAGTTCTGACAAATATTCAATCAAATCTAAGTACAAGAATATATCGAGTTATTATTTTAGTGTTTTAATAATGTAAAAATACTAAACAGAAAAGAGCTAAAATATTTGTGCACCCTCCTCCTAACAAGATGGTTCTGCTCCCAAGGGACTTAAGGCGGAACACCTGAGGCAGACAACAAAAGTACAGTTAATTTCACTCACAATTACTTAAATAAATGCACTTATACTTATTTCATTTTCTCTTACAGGTCACTCTCTGCAAGACATATTTTAATCAAAGAATTATCAATAAACATTTTAAAACTTTACATTTGTTTGGCTTTATTCTCGCCTGTTAACCAGGCCTATGTAATGGACAGCCCAATTTACAAATTGAATTTCTCCTTTCCCATCTATTAACTGCTACTGGATCAAAATCAAAATGACTGGTATCAGCATTCACTAATTTGGCGAACATTTCTGCTACAAAATGGATAATAACATTTTGTGTTTAAAGATCACATACAGGTCTTATATGACTCTTTTAGCCATGTATAATGTTGTTATCTCTCCAAAAACATAACTGGACTTGTGTTTTGTTTCATTGACAAATGTTTGAGTAATCTTGCATTATTGGGCCGGCCGTCTACAACATCTCCAAAGTTCACAACGATTTGTTCCACCTTGTGATTTCATGAAGTGCTAGTTTTCAAGTCAACAGCTACTTTTTACCTTTAATTTAGTCATAAGGTGGAACGTAGCATTTTGAGTTTTGGAGATGTACACAGACCAATAATGCAGGATTAGTCAAATGTGTGTGAATGAAACAAAACACAACTCCATGTTTTTGATCAGGTAACAACATTATGACATGGTGTAAAGCTCACAAGTGTTTTTGTGTGATATAGGACCTTGACAGCATAACCTGGTAAAACTATGACTGATATTACACAGGTAAAATGGAGTATTTATCTTATCAATGTGGAACCAATCAGTCTTTAAACAACAAAATGCTACAAGATAAAAACAACATTTTTGCATTCATTCTTTTGTACCATCACATTGTTCTGTTGTTACTCTTGCTGGTTTTGTTAGCAATTTTAAATAAAATGTTTTTGTCAGAAAATTAGCAAAGATCTGCAGGAGGTGTACAGGATGGATTGTGGTGCAGTTGAAGGCCAGTGTAACTCTGAATCTTACCATGACTGTCAATATGAGTGAAACAGTCACGTCCTATATAATATAAAATCAGCATCTTTAGTTCACACAGCCAGATTTAAAGAGGGGGTATTATGCAAAATATATATTTTTTACCATGTTATATCATTGTTCCCTCATCGAAAACATTTCAGCACTATTTCAAGCATCCTTATGTTTAGCTGTGAGATTCTGTGCAATGCTCCATCCACACTCATGGCTAGCACTCATGCCTCACAGCAAGAAGGTTCTGGGTTTGATCCCCGGGTCGCCTGGGCCTTTTTGTGTGGAGTTTGCATGTTTCTCCCAGTGTCTGGATGGGTTTCCTCCGGGTGCTCCGGTTTCCCCCATCAACACAAAACATGCTCCAGGTCTCCAGAACAGTTGATAGTCAAGGTCAATTAAATACAATCAATCCAATCATTGTGTCCTTAGGCAAGACACTTCACCCACATTGCCTAGTATGAAAGTGGTGTGTGTGTGAGTGATGGTGGTGGTCGGAGGGACCAATAGCGCCGTGTGGCATGGCAGCCACGCTTCTGTCAGTGTGCCCCAGGGCAACTGTGGCTACAATAGTAGCTTACCATCACCACGGTATAGAGTGAATGAATAATGCTGAATAATGCTGTGTAAAGCATCTTTGGGGAAAATGTCTATATAAATAAAGACTTACTTACTTACTTACACGACAATCTCTATAAATATACAAAAACATCAGACAAAACTGCACACAATGACTTCAAAAACCTAATGCGATGTGCAGTAGTTTCATCAGTGGGATGCACACTGATTGTGTTGTGATAGCGCTCTGAAGGGGGAGTGACTTAGTGCAAAGGTGAGACTCAAAGAGCCAAAAACGAAAGGAAATGTATAAAACTTGTGAGTACACTACTTTCTGTAATTATACTATTTTCCAAACAATAAAAGGTGATCTAAACATGTTATGTGTTAGCAGTGAATCCTCCACAAAAGTAAAATATCCCGTCTTACAGCTTTAGTCCCAGAAAGTGTCAGACTGCTGATAATAGTAATTCCAAAGCGCTTTAGAACAGTGAATGTGGAATTTCCATGTAATACAAAAAATTGTTTTTAAATCTAATTTCTTATCAAAATAATAAATATAATATGACATTTTTACTGTTTAATTTGAATCCACAATACATTATAAAAACATATTCTTACATTAAGGTAAATTATTATACACATATACATACAACAATAAACAACATATTTTTATTATTAGTCTTATATTTTGTTAGGTCTTATATCTTATCGTGATATTAATGTGCTCACATCCATCCTCTCAAATTGACAAAAATTATATACATTAAATAATAATAAAATCATATATATATATATATGTAAAACACATAACAATAAATATAACACATCTTTCAAAAGGTTCCTTGATTTAAAAGACTTCTAAATATTCGACTCGTTTAACAGTTCTCCTCTCAGTTCCCCTGTGCGTAAGGGACCACCCCACAGACGCGCGCGCACAGCCAGTGGTGTGCGTGTCTACGTTGTTCACCACATGTTCAGTCATGTGACCGTGGGTCAGTGCGCTCGTGTTTGTATTTGTGTTCTCCTCGTACGTGTCTCATTCATGGTGCTGTCTGCGCTCTCATTCTAACCCGCGGCTCTTCTGTCCATGAGGCGGCCCGTCCTGTGACACGGCCCGGCTCATGCCCTCAGCTCGGCGGGACACTCCTGACCGAGACACCGCTGAATAGAGCGCATTTACCCGGGGAAAGAGGAGCGAGGACGGGGCTAGCTTCAGCTGTTAGCATCGTTCTGCAGAGCTCAGGTGCACCGAGGTAAGAGCCGAACCACAACCCGAAACACTGCGCTGAACTCGGACTGGAGCAGATCTGTGCTCCGCTACGTTTAATCACGAACAACAACAACAAATGCGCCTTTTTGTTCCTAAATGTTGCTAAACTGAGCTGCTTCTATGTGTGTGTACATTAAGAATGAAGAGCTGTAGCCTGTGGGAAGTTTATTCTGAAACATGTATTGAGGGTGTTGTGTTTCCCAGAACAGAAAGTGAACGTGATCCACGTCACAATGACAGAAGACTGTGTGTGTTGGACAGAGACAACAGTCTGAGGACATGTGATACTGTGATACTCCTCAGTGCAGTATAAAGTGTACTGTCCCCATAGTAATAGTGTTACTACAAGGACATTTACTGTATGTCCTGTAAAATTATAGCCTACAAGCAATCAAGAACATGAAGGTCTAACAGTTTGTTAAAGATACAGTAACTTTCAGGTAGGGTGACCAGACGTCCCTATTTACCCGGGACAGTCCCAGTTTTTAGACCTGTATCCCCTGTCCCAGCAGATTTATCCAAAAGCAGTGATTTGTCCCAGTTTTATATAAAAAAAATGTCTCAGGTGTCCCTATTTTTCACCAATCTGATCACTTCCAACAGTAAAGAGAGGCATAAATTTTCATTTGTTTGTAAAATACAGAAAAGCTGCTTTAAAATGACCAAAACACAAAGAAAATGTGACTAAACTGACTCATATTAGTGCAGAGTGCAGAAAAATTTTCCTTACTTACACACTCATGTCACAATTTTCATATTACCAAGCAGCCCAAACCAGGAAAGTCGCAGTTTTTTATTTTGAAAATCTGTTCACCTGACTTTCAGGAAGAGGCAGGACACTTGCATGAGTTCACAGAAAACAGAAAGTTTTTGCCATACTGTGGGTTATTACAGCCAAAGAACAACACTTCCATGGAAACAAGCAGGAGGCACTGCTCTAGGCCAAATAAGAATCAGGTTTGTGGAGACTCATGCTAGACTGCAGTTTTATGTAATTCAGTTCAGTAAGTTTTTAAGAGCAACAAACACAACTGAATTGACAAAAATATGCTTTTTTTTAATGTATTTTTTTCTGCTTCTATTAAAAATGACCTACTGTAGTTTTGCATTTGTTTAGGTTTGCTCACCTCGCTCATTTGTTTAGTTTTCCATGCAGTTTTTATTGAGTTACGTAATGCAGGAGGAAGTGTATACATCTCCATTCACTAGACTCGTTCTCATCACTTCAGCTCTCACATTTTAATTAAACAAGTAATAAAAATACAATTATTGGGTGTAATAGTGGACTCTAGTACAGTCATTAGTTCTTCCTCAGATGGATTATGCGTGTGTCATTTGGTCAAAGACATGTGAGAGTGACTTGTACAAGTTACAAGTTGCTCAGAATAGAGCAGCCCGGATTGATTTGAGCTGCCCAAACAGAACCAATGTAATAACAAAGCACAATGATTTGGTCTAGCTGACTGTAAAAGGCAGACTCAAAGACTATTTATTAACATTTATGAGAAATATAATTTTATCCAAAATCCCAGAAATAATTGATAACAAATTAACTTTTTTCTCAGATAGCCACAATTATGAAACATGTCAAAGCCAAAATATAAGTGGTGCTTCCTGTGTGCAGAACCAATCAAATGCAGAGTACTGTTGGTTTTTGAGCCAGAGTTGAATGTGATGCACTGCCAGTGTTCTTGTTGTTTGAAAAGAACAAAAACTTATTCTAAAAAAAGTTAAAGCTTTTCTTTTTTTTTTTTACACAGTATTTAGTTGCTGTTTATTTATGTGTTATTGTTATTTATATTATCTGTTTTAATTAGTTGTTTATTTTTAAAATTTTTTTATTACTTTTACTATACATTTCATGTCTTGTTATTGTGTGTGTGTATTATACAATAAAATGTATGTAATGAATTTGAGGAGACCTCAGGAAGAATAGCTACTGATATTTCAGTAACTAATGGGGATCTCAAACAAAACAAAACAAAACAAAACAAAACATTTCCTGCAGAGGGCCAGTCCTTGTGCCCTGCTCTGTGTGTTATGAGGTGTCTAGAATAACTGGTAATGATTCATTTTGAATTATAAAAGCATTCAACATGAGTTGTTTGTTATAATTTGGTGTTTTGGTTCTCAAGATGATTATCAGAAAGCAGAATGATCCTCAGGGTGTTTCAATTTTGAAATCCAGTTGATTTAAAAATGTCTCTCTCTGATCTTAATGGTCTCTACCTAAATCCCAGCATCTGCAGCCAAGTGCTAGTGCAGCCTCTGCAGCTCAGGGAGGGAAATCTGGAGGTTCTGAGCTTTGACCAGTAAGGGGTCACTGTACCTTAAATACGTTCTTAAGTATGCTTCATGATCAATCTATTACTTGCAAATTTCAACTAATTAAAAATAGTCAGAATGATTGGAATTGATATGATTTCAAACACAGTCTGTCTCCAGTTTAAGGAATATGGTGCTTTTATCTGAATATTTAGTATTAAACGTTCTGATAATCATTTTGCATTTTGTTCTTTGTAAAACACATTTTTGATCTAAGACAGTCCATAGACTTCCTGTTCAAAATGTTAGTTTTTCATTGTTGGCAACAGGCTATGTGACATTTCTGAACCCTACACATATGACTTGGAGCCTGAATATTTGGAATAACTAAGTAAAGTAAAGAGTAGGGGGAGGAGTGAAAACAGATATTTACTGAGCACTCAAGTCTCATGCAGGACAATACAGGATTACTCAAACAAGCATGAATCAATAAAAATACAGCTTACAAAACGATTGAGGAACACCATGACAACACAGTTAAGACTAAAGGACCCATATTTCACTATTTTCTGATCTCTGTTCTAATGTTGTTTCCTCATCACAAACAGACCTGGACTTGTGTTTTGTTTCATTCTCACATGTTTAACACACAAACCCTGCACATTTAGGCTGAGTTCTTCTCTCAAGCAGGACACACATTGTTCTTCTAATACTACAGAACTACTAATAAAGAGTGTGCTCCACTGTGTTTTTAAACTTCATTTGAGTCATTTTAGCTATTTAGCCCATCTCTATTGAACTTAAGATAAAAGGAAGCTGTTAACTTAAAAACTACCTATTTGTCTAACCAGTTCTTCTACATTGTTTTCAAATCAAGGAACTGGAACTGGACAATAGAGTGTGAAAAACCTCTGTCCTAATTTTATACGTGTATAAGTGTCTCTCAAATGTGGACGACATCTCCTCTCCAAAATTCTCAGAACATTTAGACAAAATATCTAACTTCTTTTACCTGAGATAAGTCATAATTTGGTGGTTTGTTGATTCTGTAAAAATCTGTGATGATCTGTGATTGTTGTTGATGTGAACGGTGCATGTGTCTCTTTGACTGGTTAATCCTCCTGTCAGTCATGGTCTCTGAAATCAGGGAGACAGGGCACAGCTCCAGACCCACTCGTCTTAAAGTGTGTGATTCTGGTAACCACTACACAACATCACAAGGTGGAACAGAGCATTTTGAGCTTTGAAGATGTAGACAGACTAATAATAAAGATTTATTCAGACATGTATGAATGAAACAAAACACAACTCCAGGTCTGTTTTTGAGGAGGAAACTTCAATATAACATGGTTTAAATCCGCACAAGAGTCATTTTTGCGTAATATAGAACCCTTTAATGTAGGGAGACACCGATACCGATACTGGTATCAGATATCGGCACATATACTGAAAAATTAGTGGGATCAGGTATTGGCTCTCTGATATCGATACAACTGATATCATGGTTTGGCCTTTAATTGGATGCAAGAGTGAGGCCTAATGTTTGAACTTTTACTCATGCAAAACTGTTCACTAGTTATTGAAGGATAAACAACAGTAACACAACACAATTGGATCTCATGTAATAAATTAACTGTGTTTTAAGGAAGTAAGTGTCATTTTCTGTCCCTAAACTGGTATGGGTTAATATCAAGTATCGGGAGATACTTAAAATAAATGTACTGATATCGGTATTGAAACTGAAAAAGCTGGATCCTAGTTCAAAGTGAGTTTGAGAGAGTGTGTCCCCTGTAATGCTGTTGTGCTGTTGTGTTTCCAGGGCTGTGTCTATGAGGAGGGCGGGAGAGCTCCGAGCTGAGGATGTACTCCCCCTCCAGGAAGGACTTCATCGCGGTGACCCTGTCTGACCCCCACAGCCGCGCCTACAACAATGGCAAACACCGCAGGCAGTCCTGCTGGAGGGTGAGGGGCAGCTCCACACGCACCTGTCCACCACATGCAGCTGTTCACCACATGTCCACTGCACGCACCTGTCCACCGCACGCACCTGTCCACCGCACGCACCTGTTCACCGCACGTACCTGTTCACCGCACGTACCTGTTCACCACACGCAGCTGTTCACCACACGCACCTGTTCACCACACGCACCTGTTCACCACACGCACCTGTTCACCACATGTTCACCGCACGCACCTGTTCACCACATGTTCACCGCACGCACCTGTTCACCACACGTACACCACAAGCACCTGTTCACCATACGCACCTGTTCACCACATGTTCACCGCACGCACCTGTTCACCGCACGCACCTGTCCACCACACGCACCTGTCCACCACACGCACCTGTTCACCACACTCAACCCACAACATGCAGGTGTTAAACTAGTCAAGGTAGAGACGTGCCAGTGCCTCCAGATAGATCCGTGACTTTTAAATAATACGACAGTTACAGAACTATATTATTAGTTGATGTTTTGTTACCTTCTTTGTTGTCTCTCTCTCTCTCTCTCTCTCTCTCTCTCTCTCTCTCTCTCTCTCTCTCTCTCTCTCTCCCCACCTGTTTGCAGTGTTTTTCTTGCTCTTTTGTGTGTGTGTATATGTGTGTGTGTTGTGTGTGTGTGTGTGTGTTTGTATGTATGTATATGCGTGTGTGTATATGTGTGTGTATATGCATGTCTAGGTGTGTGTATAGGCATGTGTGTGTGTACCTGATGTCCGCAGTGGGATAATCTCCTCATAGTCTGTGTAATATGCGGTTTGCTCCTGGTCCTTTGTACTTTTTCTTTCTCCCCCCCCCCCCCCCCCCCCTCTCTCTGTCTGTTTGGGACTGTTACTCAGGAGAACAAAAATAATGCAGTTTTCTTTTTTTCCTTCTTTCCGATTGAACTGTTGATGCCGGCTGCTGTGCTGAATGCAAACTTGCCCTGCTCTAGTGGGGTGCAAATTCCGGCAAAAATCAAAGGGAGGTGAAAGGAGAGGAAAGTGTAAAGAATGCCATGATAGTACGGGTTTATAGAATAGACCTGGCCAATCTAAATAAATAGATAAAGATGAATAAGATAAAATTAAAAACTTCAGGAAGCAACTGTTCTACTGTTTTGGTTGAATTGTATTATCTGTTCTGTTCTGACTCTGTGAAGCCTGTAGCTAATTTGGCACTGTTTAGTTTAGTGCACAAATGCTGCTTGAAGTGCCAGAGTTGTAGAGTAGATGATCTCTGTCAGTTTTCAAACCTCTGTTGCTGGAATTTAAGAATACACTATGTTACGATCCAGCTCTACTAGGGACAGGGGAAGTAACAAAAGAACCAAGGTGTAAAATGGTAAAATGGAAGTTGTAATTTACCATATTTTCCACACTATAGGGGGTTCTGTTATTGAATGGTCTATTTTTGAACTTTTTTCACAATAAACTGCACCAGACTTTAAACAAAACCCAACAGTGTGATGGGTGAGTGGGACTTTGTTTGTTTGTGGTGTTCACGGTGACTCTGGGCTTTGTTCAGTTGTGGCGTGTAGGGAGGGGGCTGTCTGGGACCAACGGATTGTCGGCGTGTTCGCAGTGACTCAGTTGTTCAGTTGTGTCTAGAAGTGGCACATTGCACTCGCTTTTTCGGTTCCGTTCCTCGTCTGTGTGGAGTGATGAGTGTGACTGTGGGTGTTTTTCGCTGTGCGGTCGCTGTCTGCTCCGTGTGTGTTTGTGTGTTCTGTGGGTGGAGCAGCTTTGTAGTTTACTGAAGTCGTGCTGGGACACCCGAGTGGATTCGTGTATAGGGCGCTCTGGATTGTGGGGCGCGTGGTCATTTATTGATGGGGTTGGAGGCTTATGAGTGCGCCCTATATTGTGGAAAATACGGTATTTAAAATAATTGTAAAGGTTAAACTAACAAAAGGAGAATATTTCCAATAATTAACAAAAAGAGGCTCTAAATAGAGTAGTTAAATGTGTAAATAAATGACAACAATGTGTATATAAATGACAACAAAAGAAACACAAACCACTCTCAAAACTAAGTCACAATCGAATTTAACAAGAGCAACAAAAGAGACACAGCAAATGTGACATGCAGCTCACAGGCAAAACAGCAGCCCTGAGTGGCAGGGGGTGGCTCCTTTCATAGGCGTGCTGCTGCAGATGTAGGTCCACGATTGGCCCAGGTGTTAAGGTGATACACCAATCAGCTGGAAAGGAACCAGGTGCCAGCTGAATTGAATCCACCAATCACAGTAGGGGTCTGGAGATGGAGGTTTACACACACACACACACACACACACATGCACGAACGCTTACAGGGATCAGTAGCAGGGACTTAAACAGATATGGCTATAGGAGAAGCTGGCGGCCTGTGGCCGTAACACATTACCATTCAGGTCACTGAGGACCTGCTGTGAGGATAGGCAGTGGCAGTTTTACTTGGGGATAGGGGTGTGCGGGCTGTGCAAAAATATCAAAATATCAGTATATCATATTGTTTAATGTGATGATACAGTATTGATATCATGGGCTGCTGTATCGATATACCATATTTTTCGTACCATAAGTCGCCCCGAATTATATGGTGCAATATCAATGATGTTGAATTGTCTCATCTATTTTCATACATAAGGTGCATCAGATTATAAGGAGCATTAAGAGAAACAAACGGACGACACTTGAGACTGATCCTTAGTCCAGGCTCCACAATCCATTGGCAGATCATGGTGTAACTCGCCCAGCATTGCCTCTCTGTCTTGGTGAATGTGTGTTATGAATGTGAATGTAGTTGGATCATTTAAGGTTGTTTTTTTTTTTATATATATTTCCTATGAGGACGACTCAGATATACACTGAGTAATAATGTGTTTAATGCAGCTTTGCCACATTTGTTTACATTTTACAGAAACCAAACTTAAAACCACATAGCTCATTTGCATAAACTATAAACTGAAAAAACATCTCGCTCCTTGTGCGCTGATGCGGTTCAGCGTCTGTTGGACTAAAGGACACGACTTGCTCTGCGAGGATCCTGACTATGGTAGCCTTAATGCTCCCACAGTCAATCAGCTGTGAAGCTTTATATCTTACCAAAGTCATACTAAAACATTTTGACAGATTTTTGAGCGCCGTGTGCCACATTAAATTGGTTCGAGATCAGTAAGCACAACCAGAATTAATACATAAGCCACACTGGATTATAAGGCACACAATCCATTTTTGAGAAAATTTAAGGATTTTAAGTGCACCTTATAGTCCGAAAAAATATGTTTTTTTTGTGTGTGTATGTTTTACTAAATTATTTTGTTACAGCGCTTACAGCAGTTTTGTTGTTTGTTCAAAGGAAGGAAAGTCATTTATGTGACACATTTGACATTTTCACTGTTTTGATGATTAAAATGTTTGTGTTTCAAATGAACTTTGCACAAGAAGTGGTGTAACAAAGACTTTTAGTATCACAGCCATGATTTAGCTTTTATTTTTTATAGAACCATATCAAATTGTTTTCAAATGGAAAGTGCACTGTATTGTGATATGTATCGTATCGTGGCCTATGTATCGAAGTGTGTATCAGGATATCCAGCCCTACTAGGTGAGCTTTGCAAAGTCTCTTCTTGCTTTTGTGCCTTGCGTTTGTGATCAGACTAAAATCAGATGGGTTACTGTGCCTTTATTACACTCCTCCACACAGCGGTTGTTTTAGTGTCCAAACTTCAGTATTTGACCATCTCCTCCATGCTTTCCTGTTGCCTGCTGACTGTCATTTTCTGCTTTGCAGTGATTCTCAGGTCAAGCTACTGAATACCCAGAAGACCGACCGTGACAATTGTCGGGGTATCAGACCTGAGAGCTTGTGGCTGTGGGGAGAGAGTGCTGTGTTCAGTGCTGCCTCTGTCACTGCTGCTGATACTGTGAAGGCGTGAGGATGTGAGTAGATAAGAATGTGCACTCAGGTGTGATGTTGTTGAATGTGAGAGACTCTGGCTCATGTTTCATACAGGAGAAGCCTGTAGCTCTGCTCTGTGTCAGTCAACAAAAAACACTAAGTACTGCAAGACCTCGCTCACCAAATCCTCTTTTTCCTCTGCTGCTGTGAGTCATTGGAATAATCTACCAACAGAGATTCTAACCTGCACAGGCTTTCAAATGTTTGCACATCTGACAAAGAAGTGGCTGATCTCAAAACATGTTTGTACACATTATGGATTAGGGCTGGTATCATTAAGTTTATGACACGATACATACCTCGATATGATACATATCTCGATACAGTGCACTTTCAAATCCATACAGTATATTTCAAATGGATTTGATATAGTTTAATAAAAAATAAAGGCTAAATCATGGCTGTGATACTAAGGGCCTGTTTACAAGAACGCTTGCGAGTAAAAACGACTAATTATTTTATTCGAAGTGCCTTTAGTTTAGACGGTGACAGTGTTTTTGGGGCTTAAAAATGCTGAAACTACCCTTCAGAGTGGAAAAGTTGAATACGCTCCGCCGTAGCATTTCCGTCTGCACTGCCCAAGACGCAAAACTCTGGTCAGATGTGCTCACGTCCTGTACATGTTTATGTCACACATACATAAAGTACACAGAAACAAACATGTGGGATCATTTCCATGTGTTGGACCTTCAAGCTTCTCTGGCAGCTCTAATAAACTTACAGGAGGCAAAACAACAAATGCAGAGGATCTGTAGAGATACTATTAGTGAACAGAGAAGGATCTGCAATCACCTCTGTCAAATTCTGGATGAACCAGTTCATCACAGGCGAGTCAGACGGATATGGACGAGACCTGGAGAACCAGTTGATGATGGGACAACTTTGTGGAAGGAGTAGCTGATGAAAATGTGTGGCGTCAAAACTTCCGTATGTCCAAAGACGTCCTTGTTGCTTTAAGTACAAATATACCAATTTCACACACTTTGGCGTCACCGTATGCAGCAGATTTCCTCCCAAAAACGCTTGTCTAAATGTTGAA